TCTCTCTCTCTCTCTCTCTCTCTCTCTCTCTCTCTCTCTCTCTCTCTCAACACACACACACGTATGAGGGTATCAGATTCAGATCTTGGAGTTATGGACAGTTGTGAGCTGCCATGTGGGGGCTGGAATTCGAACCTGAATACTCTGGGAAAGCAGTCAGTACTCTGAACCACTGAGACTTTTTTTTTCAGTCCCCTTGCCCCCCAGGCAAGATATCTTTAAGGATTTTTATAAATATTCTAGTGATGAGATGCGGAAGATTGTTTATAACATTATAGCATCAAGGAGAACTTGTTGATTAGGATATATATTGCTGTGTGTGCATTTGTGCATGTGTGTCTGTCTTGACACTTTAAAGAGTGAACATAGATTGAGCCTAATGTGTTTTTAGTGTTTCTGAATCTATACTGATTGCCTAATCAGAGATTATGTTAACATAAAACCATGTTTGTCCACATCCAAAAACAGTACATTTAGGGGAAGAACTAGAATTTTAGTTGAGATAGAACAGGAAATATTTTTGAAGATGGGTTTTTACTGATGTCATGCAATCTTATCTTTTTTTCCTCAAAAACTTTTTTTTTCTTTCCTAACTTCTTTTCTGCCTTTCCACTTTTCTTTCTTGTCTATGGCTTACATCTGCCTGTGGTTTTTATTGGTACATGTGCTTAGCAGTTTTTCTGACTCATCTCCTAAGGACATTGTGCAGCATTAATCATGATTTTTTATTTTTGAGACAGAGTCTCATGTATCCCAGGCTCACCTTAAGCTCACTGGCTAGGTAGCCAGGATGCTCTCTAATTTCTAATCCTCCTGCCTTCTCTTCTTCAGTGCTGCCAACAACTCTGGTTTGTTTAGTGCTGAGTGAGGCTGGAACCTAGCAAGCACTCTTCTTATATCTTTATTTCTTGGTCATGGTTTTTGTTAGTACAAGTATACCTTAAATGGTCTAAATAATAAATATATATCATAACATGCTGTTGTGAAAAATACACATTAATATAGCTATCATCTGGGTGAAGAAGTAAAATATTACCACCACCCTAAAAGCTTTTGAACCCTTTCTGCACACTGTTTCTCAGGCATAATGTATGTATTCAAATTGGTATCATTTGTTGGTAAGTGGCCTGTTTTTGTGGAGAGCTAGATCTCAACCTAGGGCCTCATATGTAGCATGAGGGGTCTGCTTGTTGGTGTGTCTGTCCCGCCCAGCACCCCACAACTGGCATACCCCAAAGAAAATCATACAGAGGACTCTATAAGATTATAAAATTGATTGGCCCATTAGCTCAGTCTTCTTATTAACTAATTCTTACATCTTACGGTAACCCATAATTCTTGTCTTGTGTAAGCCATGTGGCTCAGTACCTTTTCCAGTGGGGCAGGTTACGTCTTGCTTCTCTGTCGTCTGGACAGGAATGTGTGGAATGGGCTTCCTAGCTTTCTCCTGTTCTCGTTGCCCTGCCTCTACTTCCTGTCTGGTTGACCCCGCCTATACTTCCTCCCTGGCCAATCAGCATTTTATTAAAATACATGATTGACAGAATACAGATAATTCTCCTGCACCATTCATACATTCTTCCACTGAGCTCTTGGTCTCTCTCTTTCTAACCTTCTTGATGCTTCTGCCCACAGGCATGCACTGTCTTCTCTTCTTGTGCTTGCACTGATTGACACATTTTAAATAAGATTTTAAATCCCTCCCCCAATTATTTTCTGTCAGCCCTTTGACTCCTCTTTTACACATTTCCCACCCACTTATTAAAATAATCTAACAGATAAATACCTATTTCTTCAGGAAAGAAGTCAAATACTGCCATAAGCAGGTGTAAAGGTTTGTTCCTCCTGACAAACTGTCTAGTAGAAGTCTTTAACATTGCAAATAAACATGTATATAAATAGTCACTCTTTTTTTTAAAGAAAAAAACTAGATAAGGTGTGATTCATTAGAATAAAGTTACTAAAGACATACGAAGTATTTTGTGATATATTTTTGTATAAATATATTTAGATTATTTTATTATTTTAGAAGACGCTAATATTCAAAATACCCAACTTAATGATTATAGGACTAGTGTTAGCTCTTAAAAAGCTTTACAAAGAATATATGATACTGGTAGAATAATACATCATTTAGTAGAAGTTTTAAATCACCAGAATTTAAATATTACCATAACTCAGTAGATTTTTTTTTATTTTATTTTACTGTTTTCTGCTATGAACATTTGTAACATTTTTTAAATTAGTTAATTTTTAAAAGAAAACTATCTCTTTTCATTTTATATACCATCCCAGTTCCCGCTCCCTCCCTCTCCCCCCACCACACCCCCTATCCACTCCTTAGAGGCTAAGGCTTCCCATGGGGAGTCACTAAAGTCTAGCACATTGCTTTGAGGCAGGACCAAGACCCTGCCCACTTTATCTAGGCTGAACAAGGTATCCCTTCAAAGGGAATAGGTTCCAAAAAGCCAGTACGAGCAGTAGGGATTGATCCTGGTCTCACAGTCAGTGGCCCCCCATTCTGCCCCAGTCATGCAACTTATCACCCACATTCAGAGTGGTCTAGTTTGGTCCCATGCTGGTTCCCCTACTATCAGTCCCATTAGCTCAGGTGAGCTATTTCAGTGAGTATCCCCATCATGGTCTTGACCCCTTTGCTCATATTATTGTTCCTCCTCTTCAGCTGAATTTTGGGAGCTTAGCCCAGTGCTCCGCTGTGGATCTCAACATCTGATTCCATTAATTGTTGGATGAAGGTTCTGTGATGACAATTAAGATAGTCATCTGACTATAGGGAAAGACCAGTTCAGGCACTCCCTCCACAATTGCTTTGAATGTTAGCTAGGGCCATCCTGGTAGGTTTTTGCTACCCCCCAAATGGCTCCCTCAATCAAGATATCTCTTTCCTTGTTTTCCTACCTCCTCCCCTTCTCCCATTTTATTCTCCCTTCTCCCCCCACCTCCATGGCTCCCAATTTTCTCAGGAGATCTTGCATTTGTGACATTTTCATTTTAGAGAAAGGGTCTCAGTAGCCTAGATTGATTCATTATCTTTCTCTCTACCTTCTGAGTATAAGATAAATAGCCATGAATCACCATGCTGGACTTATGAGGTGCTGAGGATCAAACTTAAGGCATCGTGCATATTAAGTATGAACTACATCCCCAATCCAATAGATTTGTAACTTTTTTAAAATTCAAAGCATTTTGAATACTCCTTTTGAGCAGGTGGCAATTAACATGATCAAGTTAGGCAATGACAAAATAGAAGTCTATTCAGTAAAAAGAATCTCTTTCCTGAATTTGTTCTGCTTCAAATCATACTTTTTTTAAAAAAAATTATACAATGATAATTTAAGTCTATTCAGTAAAAAGAATCTCTTACCTGAATTTGTTCTGCTTGAAATCATACTTTTTTAAAAAAAATATATATGCAATGAGAATTTGAGGAAAAGAAACTGATAGACTAAGGAAAGTTAGCTTAGAAACAGATGCACGTGAATGTCAGCATTTCCATGGAGCTGTTAAGTAAGAATGTTTTTTTTCTATAAATAATGTGGGAGTTGTTGGATATTAATACAGAAATGAAAACTTGACTCCTCACTAAAGCAATATAAAATGCAAATGGGTTGCATGCCAAAACATGGAAAGCAAGCTACAAAGTTTTAAAAAGGCTTATTTTATATAATAGACTAGAAATATGATTAATCCCTAAACTTTGCCCTCTCCTTTAAAATCAAACCTTTTTGTGTACTTTTCTCTACCTCTCCCAAAAAATTCCAGAAGCAGTGAAACTGTTTATTTCCACAGAATTTTATTAAACCATGAAATATTGTTTGTTTGAATATTTAAAAAAGTTTAACTTTCCCATTTTATATGAAATTAGACCGTGTACATTTAATTGTATAAAAGGGCTAGGTGCTCCTTTTTATTTTTAATAACACAATATTTTTATAATCCTGAGATTTAAAAATAGCTTTGCATAAAACGAGTTTTACTGTATTACCAAGTAGAAAAGCATGCGCATGTGAAAAGTTAAGATATCTTATGTCTATATTCTTTCAGGGCAATTAAAGCATTTCAGGAGGTGCTTTATGTTGATCCCAGCTTTTGTCGAGCCAAGGAAATTCATTTACGACTTGGGCTTATGTTCAAAGTGAACACAGACTATCATTCTAGTTTAAAGGTAGGTTGTTGGGGTTTTTTCAAGATACAATGTTGTGTTTCTCTGATTGTTGTTTTTGTTAAATATTAGAGCATTGAGAGATGTTAACTTATATTGGCATGTTCAAAGAAAATTTATTTAGATGAAGGAACTGTACATCAACTATGAAATAAAAGAAAAATTGGATTTCACAATACAATGTGTTTTGATACTGAGAGCTGCCTGGTAATTTATCATACCGTAATTAAACTTTCGTTTTAAGTTTTGTTAAAGTCTGTTAGGAAATGATCTTGGGGCATCTGCAATTCCCTGAAGAAGTGATTGTCCATTATAGAGGCCACAGACTGCTACTTAATGTTTTGTCTGTGACCTAGCCATCAACCATTTTTTTTACATGACTTTATATAAATTTGTCCACTTCAACCAGCAAGACATGTCTTGCATTTATATAATAAAAAGAGTATTTTCATGGCGTTTGGACTACTGGTTTATAAATATTGTTGGGGAAAAATAATATGCTTTTGGTTGAGCATCTTCCTACCAGTGAACATTCAATATTTCTTCCAATTTTCATTTTATATTGAGTTTCTTCTGCCTTTGACATCATTACTAGGACTTTCATGAAAATAACACTTACCTACATGACAAAAAATTTTAATTTGGAAAGATTACAAGTCCTAGGAACAAGCTTTCAGTTTTATGAACTTGATGACTGCCGAGTTTTGTTGCATATTGGTCATGATTCTAAAGGTTGTGGGAAGGGTAGAGAAGGGAGATAAAGAATGACTTTGCATTTGGTTGTAATTTGAACTCACTAGTAAGGAACTGCCAAGAGGTGTTTTGTTTTTAAACTATCTATAAGTGTTCCTAATTGTTCTAGATTTTTAAAGTAGAAAACTATAGCACAAATAATAAAAACCCAGAGACAGATATCAGGGTTCAAGCTGAAGATCAGAAAAACAAAGCTGCCAGCCACTGGCTTTTAACCTCTACCTCAGACCGAAATGGGCCATCCTGCCTCCACAAATCCTCAAACTGAGACTTGAGTGTGAGAACTGTCTCCTCCCATTTTATATTCCTCTCTAGTGCTGGGATTAAAGGCGTGTACCACCACCACCTGACTTCTATGGCTAACTAATGTGGGTGCTGAGATTAAAGGTGTGTGAAACCACTGCCTGGCATGTATGACTATCTAGTATGGCTTCTGGGATTAAAGGTGTGTGCCACTACTGCCTGGCCTGTAGGGCTTTGTGTTCTGATCTTCAGGCAAGCTTTATTATTAAAACACAAATACTATACCACTATAGAAAACTGTCCAAATACTGTTTTTCCTCCAACCTTTCTTGCTTTTATAAGGAAAAATGCGGATAAGAATTATGCAATCAAGAACATTAAGACAAATGTAATTTGTATTTGTAATTGTAAGACAAATGTAAGATTGTAAAAAATGTAGACCACAATAGTTGAAGGTAAGTGCAGTAGAGGAATAGGTCCCAGCATGACTAAGTAGTGTGGAGAGTATAATACCTGGAATTTACAGTTTTCCTCAGCTTAGTGGAATATTTTTTTAAAATAAACTATGGTAAATCATTGGGTTTGAAGTAGAAAATAAATTTAGAAATGTTATCTTATATACTTTAAAAGTTCCTTCTAGATAGTCAGTTTTCATTAGCTATCAAAGATTCCTAACTATGTTTTATTACACAAAATAAACATCCCTCTTAATTGCAGAAGGGTTGATAGCAGTTAACAAACTTTATTCTGGGTATGCATTGTGGGTAGTAATTAGATATGTTTCAAATTACAGAATGTAACTATACCTGAATCTTAGTACAATGATAACTTTAGTAATGTCTGAATAAAATTCTGTTTTCAAGAAAGAAACAATATTAAAAGTTCCTTTAAATCAGGAGGTGTGGTGTTTCAAATCTAACTAGAAGCATTCCTGCTTCTCAGCCAAAACATTCCTGTATAGTTTTTCAGTGCTAAGGTAAAATGCTAACAAATCTTGATCATGTTTGTCTTACCAAGAATGCTCCAAATAAGGGGAGCCTTCTTTTTGGGAGGGAGTTGTTATTTGTTTAAAATAATTGATAACATCCAGATATTTAATAAATTTCTACAAACAGGTGATTTTAAGAACTCTTGGTATTTTTCTTCTTCACAATATCAAGGTTTTGATTTGATTTTCTCTTTACATTGATACTTATTTTGTAAAGCCTTCTCTCTAAATTATGTATTCATTGTCTATTAAATGGAAATTTTTGAATCTCAGCACTTTTTGGTTCCAAGAGCATCTATTTTCGTTTATTATTGTAAATGTTTAGCTTTCAGTGCATGGAGGTAGAAATTAGGAAGAGGGGATGTTCACTTCTTCCTTGGACGACTTCCAGTTTTTTTTTTTAAAACAAATATTTTACCTCCATCTGGATAAGGAGAGAACCTCTGATGACTCTTCTACCACATCAGACTTTTTTATAGCACAGTATACTAGAATAGATGCCTTTTAGACTGCAGTGTTAGTAGAGAAAAGATCTCTTTCGTTGAGCCTGATGAATTATTTCCTTAGGACCCATATGGTAGTAAGAGTGAGCAGATTCCTGAAGGTTGTTTTCTGACCTCCACACATGTATGCACACGTAAATACAAATAAATTTAATTAAGTAGCTCATGTATGAAGTCAGGCCTTTGAAATTAGTTGAGTAAACTGACCTGAAGTTTCATCAGAGATGATTCCTTTTAGTTCTATTTTGACTTTTTTTTTTTTTAGTGGATGAGGGATACTTTTATAGTCACATATAGTAGTTTTTGTGCCTAGTATAGTGCTGTCATTTATTAGTAATGTCAATAGGTAGTGATCATCATTCATTCAGGAGAATGATCCTATCTTCATGTTAATCTTTTCAGAAGTATTTCACGTTTCATCTCATTAGATGGAATAAAACATGGTCTTTTTTAATTGTTTATCAAAGGAGATGTCATTCTTAGAACAGTTATGCTCAGTTTTTGAGCAAGGTTCAAGTCCATAAATATACTATTTCTACATAATGGAGGGATGAAACAAATAAAAAGAATATTTTAGTAATGAGGGTACTGTGAATATTCCTTCCATTACAGATCAGATTTTTTTTTTAAAAAAAAACATGTTTGTGGAAGTATATGTATTTATGTGCAGGTGTGCATGCTTTGAACCCAGAAGAGGATGTCTTCTTTATTCTCTCATTAGGGTTTCTTCTTAAACCCTAGAACTAGCTCACAGTTTCTCAGCTAGGCTGGAAGCCATCAAGCTCCAGCAATTTTCCTTTCTCTGTCCCCTTCACAGCTGAACTTACAGACATTTAGAACACACCCTGTTTGTGACATGGGAGCTGACATCCAAACTCTTGTCTTCATGATTGACCAACAAACACTCTTAACTACTGAGCTATAGGTCTAGCTTCTGATCAGTTCTTCTCTACCTTATTTCCTTGACTTTTTCCTGAAGAGAGATGTTGCTTGTATTAATACTTTTAAAATGATATTTATATAAAAATAATTTATTTTCTTACTAGATTCCTTTTATCCATACATGAAATGGATCCAGAGCTTCCTTGTTTGTTTTAGTCAATGTTTCATAATATTTTTTATCAAAATACATCTCTAAAACAGATTCATTCTATTTTGGTACTATAGTAACAGCTCTCATAGCAAGCAAATTTGGTTTTGAAATTTGATTCTGCCACATACCTTGTAACTAATTTTGTAACTTTAATAAAATTACTAATTTCTGATTCTTTCTGTCTACTGAACCAGAATAATTATACCTACCTCACAAAGTTGTTATGAAGGTATACCTAAATTTATATTACATAATATAGAATATTATATAATTATGTTTATAATATATGTGTTATAAAGATGTACATGGGTAAATATTTATGTACATATACATATTCTGTGTCTTATAGCCTTTTTTTTCCAACTATAAAGGAATGTGAGATAGGATCGCCTTATTAGTCTGAGCTGATCTAGTCTTATCCCTACTGCTGGGATTCACAAGTGTGTGCTCTCATGTCCAGCTTCAGTTCTTTTTTTTTAAATAATGTTTATTGTTTATTTAATTTTATTTTATGTGCATTGGTGTGAAGGTGTCAGATGCCCTGCAACTGGGTCTTCAGACAGTTGTGAGCTGCCATGTGGGTGCTGGGAATTGAACCCACGTCCTCTGGAAGAGCAGTCAGTGCTCTTAACCACTGAGCCATCTCTCCAGCCCCCCAAACAAATGAATGAGAAATATTTCTCTGGTCTGAGCCACCATGTGGTTGCTGGGAACTGAACTCAGGACCTCTGGAAGAGCAATAAGTGCTCTTAACCTCTGAGCCATCTCTCCAGCCACCCAACTTCAGTTCTTTAGTTCTTTTTAGTACAGTTGGTTTTTGATTTGGGTGTGGTGTGTCTCCCTTCCCCATTGTTTTGTTTTGTTGTTTTGAGATAGGCTCTCGTGTAACTCAGTCCAACCTTGAACCTAGCAAAAGTTAGTCCTGAACTCTTTTTTTTTTAATTAAATTTTATTTATTTTATGTGTATGGGTATTTTGTCTGAATGTGTATCTGTTTACTACTTGCTTGCCTGGTGCCTGAGAAACTAAAATTATAGAAGTTTGTGAGTTGCTATATGGGTGCAGGAACTTGAACCTAAGACCTCTGAAAGAGTAGTTGGTGCTCTTAATCACTGAGCCATCTCTCCAGCCTCTAGCCTTGAATTCCTAATCTTTCTGACTATCTGCTAAGTCCTATGATGTGTATGATATGTGTGTACTACCATGCCTTCATTGATTGTGTGTATATTTTTGTTTTATTGTGTGTGTGTGTGTGTCTGTGTGTGTGTGTTTTTGTTTTTGTCAGTCTGCCTATTCACAGAAATATAAAGTTAATGACCTCATTTGTCAATCATGGGGTTATTTTTTTTCCATTAAATTGGCCAGTAAATAATCTCATGTGTTTAGTTTGTCCTGGGCACATTTTTCAATTTGTAAACTGGTT